AAAAAAAAAACCTGTGATGGATTGGAGGACAAACGAGATCGTTTATTAACAGGAACAAACTGTTCTTCTGAAAAGTCCTCCCTTCTCATTATCCCGCTTCCTTCAAACGACGCTATTCCGATAAACAACAGTCGACCCGTCCAAAAAAAATTAAAAAATAGAATTCTTCGAAAATTGAAAATCACTTGAACTTGAACTTGAAATTCTTAAATTGTAAATTGGTAATCAAGAACACTGTCGTCAAATATCTTTTAGATAAATAAATCGTAATAATTCAAAAGATGCCGAAAAATTTCTTTTGCCGTTTCCGCGTGCTTTTATTGAATATATTGAGAGAAGTTTTGATTTGGATTTGAAGTGTTAAGGAATATATAGATGCCGAGTCAATAACTTACAGGTAATGCATTTGACTTTTGACTGGATTTATTACCAAATTACCCATCAATTCTGTTTTACTTTTCCAGTTTTCCTTTTATGTTTGTGTGGGTCCAGTTTCCTTTACGGCACGTGCACGTCGGCCATCGGGCTCTGAATGAATAAATTGAAACAGAAAAATTAACATTTATGGTGTGTTTGAGATACATTCTTTTGAAAGAATGTATTATTGAAGATGGAGAATATGTGGTTAAAAATGAAGGAAAAGTTATTGATGTGATGGAAAATATTATTTTATTGAAAAATGTGTGGTTCAAAATGAGTAGAACAATGAGAATGAAAAAAATAATGTATACCAAACAGGGGTTTAAACTATAATAAGGTGAAAAATTTGCAATGTTGTCAAAATCGGTCAAGTCCGGCCTGACTCCACCGGTTCAATCAGTAAAATTGGGAACCAGACCCAAAATCGGACCAAATCATGCCCGATTAATTGATTATGACAAAACCGCTCAAAACTTACTGAATCGGCTGGTTCAACCGTAAACCGGTGAACGGATCTCGATTTTGAGCACTTTTCACATTTTTTTTTAGATTAAAAAATTTTAACTTCATGAACAGGCTTCACAAATTACAATTCAAAGACACATAGAGAATTGTTTAATGTCATGCTCATTTTATAAATGCACTTCTCTCAAATGGTTTTATAAACTTCCAATGTGGGATAATACATTTTATAGATGTTCTTCTCTCCAATGGTTTCATAAATTTTCAATGTGAGATAATGATATAACAAAAAAGATTAATGTTATTCATCTCCATTGGGATTACAAATACAGTTTAGATGACTCTAAATGATAAGTTAAATGAAAGGTAAAATTAAACTACTTATTTAATTTCACCTATCAATTAATGTCACATTAACGCCACCTAAACTGTCTAATTGACTAATTTGATTTTGAATCCCACCTAATTAAATTGTAATATTCACCTTCATCATTTCATTTATTTAATTTCAAATTTAACTTAAATTGCTCTTGATTATTAACATATTAATGTTATATATCATTTTCTATAAGTTAGTAAACTATTTTAACATATTGATTTTTAATTTTTGAAGTATCGAGACTAATTGTAGGATAATAAAGCTAATTAACAAAGATAGATTTACTTTGAATTATTAATATGGAAATTAAAAAATATTGTTTTCCTAATATTTTATTATTTTTATATGCATTTATTGCATCGGGATTCCGATTGAACCTTTTAATCCTTGACCTTTTCCGGATCGATGACCCGATCGGTTTTCAAAACATTGCTAATTTGTCACAATATATTTGTTAAATTATTTAATTTGAAAGTGTAAAATGGCTAAATATAAGATACCAAATAGATCATTTTTAATTAGTATTTGACGTCTAAAACGTTTTCATAGACTTGCAATAACAAAGTATGAATTTGTCTTGTGCAAGCATTAAGTAATTAAAATTACTGATTTTTCTATGCATAACAAAAAATTATCTCTTGTTTTAATGAATTTAAAATTTAGTCACACAATTCGTTAATAAACTTATTTTGACCGCAAAAATTCAATTCCGACCTGCAACTACCATATCTTTTCCAAACACGCCCATAAAGTTTATCTTTCTTTTTCTCCTTTAAGAAAGAAGAATTCCTCTTTCTGTTTAGCAAGTGTTCTTAAATAAAAGTAATTATTCAAATTAGTTGAACTTGAACATGAGAACTGGGGATTTGGCAAGTTGCATTTGTAGAAAACGGACAAGAACCTCAAACGTCATTTATTATACAGTCCAATCCCATCCATTCACGACGAAGAATTTCACTAAAATTTATAGAGCATGTTATGATTTGAGAATGCAAAGTTCAAAGTCGCAACCACAAAGAAGAGATGAAGTTTTACTCTCTGAATTCTTCCTCTACTGTCTTCTATCTTGTGGCCTCATCAAGATGGCTATGGATTCCCACTCCAAACTGCATATAACATCCTGCGCCATATCATTGTGCTCATTAGTGAAATGCAAGACTAAAACTTCACAAGGGAAACAAATGTGATAAAGAATATAGTTTGACAAACCGAGGGGTTCTCCTTGTCGATGTCAAAGCTGTTGATGGCACATGGTTCGGCCAAAAGCTCGACTGGTTCTTCACCTATGGAATTAAGATGAACTGAATCAGAGCCCAATCATCATGTACGTCTTCATTTGTTTAACCAGTTAGCAAGTACAAGAGCATGTTTGGCGAAGCTTTAACAGCTGAGTTACAAGTACATAAGCTTAGCCTCTGTTTGGGTCCTTTGGGAAACATTTTTTAGGAAATTAAAAAGTTACTTCTATTACCCATCAAAGTCAAACTTTAATCTTAACTGCATATTCAAAAGGACTAGGCATCATTATCCACATATTTCGTGGTCTCCACCACTATTCCTCCCAAAAAGTTACTCTTAGGGGGTGTTTGTTTTTGATTTTTTAATTCTACAGTAAATCAATTCTCATTTTCAACCACACATTCTTCAATAAAATAATATTTTCCATCACATCAATAATTTTTTCTTCTTTTTAACCTCACATTTCCCATCATATCACTATTCAAAAATCAATTCTTCCCACAAAAATCCCTACCAAACAATCTCTTAATATTTCCTGAACAGATGCTAAAGGAAATAGTTGCTTTCAAAAGACGCAAGTCATCGCAACATGTTAACAGAAGTCTTAAATGTAGCTTCTAGTTCTTTTTAGGCATAGGCAAACACACTATAAATCAAAACAGAACTTATCACTGATAACTGCATAGAATAAATGCAAAATAAAGTTAAGAAACACATACCTTGTTCGACCACGGCAAGTATTCCATCTTCTGTACAAATCATAGCAGGTAAGATCTTTGAAGATGAAACGTTACCAGTGTTAGAAGAATGCCTATAGCTGTCGTACTGGACCTCCCAAACCTCACTTTCCGATAGCGAATTGGCTGGTCCACCACCAGCCCAAGCGCCAGAGAGGATTATAGGCTGTTGTTGCCAACGGATATCCCATGCAAATACAGTACCAGAAGAACCTCCTGCCTTCAAACAGAGGAAAAATAGAAAACTATTACACAGTATTTCACAAAGCCATGGAAGATAACTAGAGAGCCTAACTAAGAAAATCTCACAGAACATTCCAATTCCTAATCAATTCTTCTAGGCGGGCGAACAAACTTAAGTCAGCCTCTAAACTAAGCCCGTTACAACCAGATCAAGGCATCCAAGATCCTAAAATAAGGGCAAAATGGCAAAAGTTTTCTGAAAAAAGAATGAGAACACCTATAACCAGTATTGATAAAAAGGAAAGGAGTAGCCCATATAATCACACATATATACTTGATGGGAGAATTTATATTTACAATTTTGAGTGCTGCATCACTGTCTATGATATCTACATTGTAAATGAGTGAAGTGCATCGCATATCTTAAGAAATGTGAAGCTCACGAGGAAAGATTAAAGAAGCCATACGAGGCAAGTGTGCTTTCGAGACCGATGAATATCAACAGAATGTACAATGCCAGAAGTAGTTCCTCGACTCCTATTAAGCACCACATAAACAAATTTCAGTAAATCAACAGTAAAAATAATTATTGGGAAGGAAGAAAACTCCACAATAAAAGCAGCATCTTGATCCGAAGTCCGAAGTCGTGATTATTTACCAAAAAAAAAAAAAAGCAAAGTGATTCAAGATATCATAAAGAGCTATCCATTAAAATGGTTACCCTTGAAAATAAATGGAATCCATTCAACGCCTTGAAGATGTGCAACCTATCATGCTGAAGGGATCATGTCTATATCAAGATCATACATCAAACAAGACATAGTTACAGTTTCTATATCAAGGTTTGTGAAAGTACCAGATTGACAAATCTAGAGGTAAACACACAATCTTGAAATTAGGCAGCTAAAGGACATGGGCCATCTACCTCTTCAAGGATTCTGTTGGCAATTAGAAAAGAGATGCATTGCACACCAACTATTATTTAGAACAGATAAAACCAACATAGGCAATTCAAAATTCTAAACTCACTGTCCACCTTTCATAGCATGTCTGTCAATTTCATTCGGGTCCTTTGACTTTAATCTATTTAGAAAGTTACATTCTTGTTCAAAATTTTATCATAGCTGATAGCAAAACTAATTCAGGTTTACAATGTCAAGCCCAACAAGAGAAATATGAAAAATACAACGTGGCATCACAAGTGTATAGTGTAATCTCAGTAACCACTATCTCAGACACATGACAAGGGTCAATTGGCATCCTATACCTATAAATTTAGTTTTACATTCAGAACTGCAGTTATTAGCAAAGTTCAAGCTTCAGCTTTGGAACAAAAATTTGTGTTCTTAATTTTTCCCTAGCGGGAGAGGGAGGCAGGTGTCAAATAATATATTTCACCGTATTTTACAAGTGAACAAGAAAATTAGAGTGATCTACAAAAACTGTAGGCTCTTTTCTCTTTCTTTGCAGAACGTATGCTTCTGTACATATCACACCAGCAAAAATCGCCCACTAATAAAATGGAATGCACCACCCTGGTGTATCAAATCAACTTTGTTATTACTTCTTAACATCTGCTGCAAATGTGTTGACTACGAGCCAATCCAAAATGTTACTTATGCAAATGTTTTAGAACTAACATGTTGGTCACCCTGTGTTTAATCTCCATAATATTTAGTTGACAAACAATAACAAATGTCATATGATAAACAGCAGCTAAAAGCACAACTTGCAAAGTTACAAAGCTTGCTTCAGTAAACAGATATTGTCAATTCTAGAAAAAAATATTAACATACTTCAATTACAAAAGTCTAATTAATAAGTATTACTGGTGGACACATATACATAAACAATACTCTACAAAAGAATCAGCAAAAAGTATTTAAAATCGTTTTCAAAATTACCAATTTCCCTTGAACAATACCACAGGGCCACCAGGCTTTCGCTGATCCCACCAATGCATCCCGAATCCAAGCCCACCCGTCACGAACTCCACAGGGGACGCCCACCTCACCGTGCTATACGAAACCAAGCCATTACTATCAAAAACCGTCCTCGCATTCCATTTCTCACCTAAACTCACCAAATTGACCCTCCCATTCTCCACACTCACACACTCCGACCCATTATCACTCAAATCAATCCCCGATACGGCCCCCCAATGGAACCCCTTTTCGGGGACCGAAAATTCCAAATTCAATGACCCATCGATTAAATCCGCAGAATAGAAAAGCAAAGACCCGGAGAATGTTGATGCAGCAATCAGGGGTTTGGAGGGGTTTAAGGGAGAAGGGGCGATTTTCAAGGAGGTGATTCTTGAAGGGGTAGACAGAGAAATTTGATGGGTCAAAGACGGGGTGCTTTTGGCATTCTGGGCCGGCGTAAAAGTGAGGATTTGGATTGAAGGAGTGGAGGTGTCGGAGTCATAAGTAGCAAGAAGGATGTGGCGGGAGAAGGCGGAGACTTGCGGCAGCCAACGCAGGGCATCTATGTATGTAAATTGAGGAAGTCTGTGGATTTGTATGGGATTGGGGGGAGGGAAGGTGCTGAGGGCCATTGGTGGTGGAGGAGTGGAGCTGTGGAGGTTTCTGAGAGGGTTTTGATTTGAAGTTGTACGCCGTGTGGAAGAGTTTCGGGGGTTTAAAATGGTTTAGACTAGATTTGGACAAAATAACCAAGTTACGACATTTGATTACTAATCTTCAGTGTTCCCTCGAAAAATAAAAAAAATATTGATTGCTTGCTTACTTTTACATAACTTTACTCATCCATCATCTATCTAAATTTCGTTGACAAAGAAATCTTACTCGACGAATGAAAACCCTACGTGACAATTATAGGTGTTAAAATTTGATAGTTCATTAAACGAGTAATTACTAATCTTTACGTTGGCTACTAATTGCTCACTCATATTTAGACAATGTTACCCTACCACCTCAATTTTCTTTTTTTTATACCATTCAATTTGTTATATTATTTTCATGAATTTTAGATTGAATTTTGCAAATTATGTTGTTAACTTTATTTTCCTCATTTTTTTACTCCTACAAAATTTATTTTTATTTTTATTGTGTTCGAGATAACTCTGAATCCACTCTAATTCTCCATCTTATCAAGTAGAAAATAAAATAAAATAAATTATCATAAGAAAATAGGAAAACAAATTCAAAAAAGCGTAAAAAAAAAACATTAAGATGGATGAATTTATAAAAAGAAAATCAAACAAATTCCTATAAGAAATAATTATCAAGAATGAATAAATAAAAAAATTTGAGAAAAATAAGTTATATTAAAATATGAGAAAAATAAAAATCATATAAATTAAGAAAATAATTTCAGAAATATAATTATTAGTTGATGGAATAAAAATCAATAAAATCATATAAACAGACATACAATGAAAATCGAACATAGATTTTCTAGAAGAAAAAAAATAGGAAAATAGATTTGACAAAATAATTTTTAAAAATCATTAAAACCATATAAACAAATAGAATAACACTGTTTGACATCCTTAAAATTTTCAAAACGTAGTTTTGAATAGTATTTTTTGGAGCATGTATGACTAAAAATTAAATTTGGATTAATGTGTAGAATATATTATTGTGTGAATGTATAATTGAAATAAATTAAAGTAAAGTAAAAGATGTCAAGTAGAAACAAAAACAAAATTGAGATGGATAATGGATGGGTAAAATTAAACGTGAGTGAGCAAACGATAACATTTTATTTTTTAGTGAGCAAGTGGTAACCAAATATAAATGTTATTTAATTCCGAGTGAGCAAACAATAATCAGAGATAAATGTTAGCGACTAATGAATTTTCAAATTTTAACATCGTTAACTGTAACGTAGAATTTTCATTTGACACGTAAGAATTTTTTTTGCCTCGTGGACAAACAAAATTTAAATAGATAATGGATGAGTAATATTCTGTAAAAGTGAGTGAGCGGTAACCTATAACGTTTTATTTTTGAGTGAGCAAGTAATAGTCAAAGGTAAATGTTGATGATTAATCATTTGATTAACTCCAAAATAACCATTTATTTGTGAGATCAATCAAGCTACAAGTATGGATTGTTTTGACATAAAATTTTGACGGAACATTTGGCTCAACAAATCATGCTACATGTAGCAAAATTGATGACAATGAGGATGATCGAACACTCACAATATGAGGCCCACTTTTTTTTTTTTTTGAAATTTCTTAATCACGAGGGGTCCGCAAGCATGTGAGAGGCTGTCGTCCCTATTGCATGGGGCTTGCAGTAGTCTTCAATCATCCCTAACACATCAGTCCTTCTTGGATGTTTAGGGTTCGTTTGATTTTACATATGGAAAATTGGTGGAAAGAAAATGAATTATATGGAATTGAATTGTTTAAAAATTGTTTTACTGAGAATTGTAATTATATTTAATTGATATAATTTTTCACCTGAAAAATATTGGAAGTTTGATATCCGTTTGACTTTATTTTTCATGGAAATTGTATATTAAAGTGATAATTTCTTTTACCATTGGGTCTAAAATTTGTTTCACTTGTAAAAAAAAAAAGGCTTATTCTTTATTTTGTTACACTTATTTTTAACATCATCCAATTAACGTGCAACGCAAGTTTGTCACACTAGTGATATAAAAAAGAACTATAAACTTCTGTCAAGATTAACAGATTTCCATGCTTTTTGACAGACCTTATATAGAAAATCTGTCCAAGAAACCACATCAATCATGCTCTTCATCAAGACAGGTGTGTAGAAAATGCAACAACACAAGGCATAAATACCAACACTGGACGGATTACGTACACATGACATGATAAATAATAGTGAAAACAAAGTTTACCAAAGGTTCATGTATGAAGCAACATTATCAAATTGGTAAGCATGGCAGTATTTCTTTACCAAATGTACCCGTCCTTAGTTTTTCCTTATAGGTGAATCATTATGTATCAAATTTCAAACAAATAATAACTATCACTGTGTTTGGCCTTAAAAGTTATTTCTACTACCACTCAAAGTCAAACTTTAATTTTAACCATACATTCTGACAACTAATCCCTTGTTTGGTCCCCGTTATTTTCAACCACACGTTCTTCAATAAAATAACATTACATGCGTACCCAAAACTTTTTCTTATTTTTTAACTACATATTCTCCAACGAAATACTATTCCAAAATGCATTTTGGGCAAAAAATGGGGGCTCAAACATGCTCTAATTATTGTCCATACATTTTGTGGTCTCCACCACCATTCCTCATAAGAAGTTCCAAACAAGTTACTAATAAATCAATCCTGAACAGAGGCTATAAGAAGATTAAAGCTTCTTCTGCCGTGTAATATTTTATCACTACAACGGCATTGTAGTTGATCTTAAGCAGATAAACCTTCACTGAGTAACGAATGCGCTCGCAAAGATATACTATGCTAGGATTTAAAGATGATTCACCATCTGATCTCTATAATTGATACCAGAAATTAAAACAGATAAAGTTAGGCCGACCATTAAGTGAACAGAACCCTCATAAAAAAATGTGACAGCTTTGAAACTCTGTATGGCGGAATTTTTCGATAACCGTGGATGTCCGGGCCAATATGGCGGAATTTGATTATTAGGTATCATGTTCATGTGCAAAACATTTAATGATGATGCATGTTCCGACTCACAGAAAAAATTTCTCCCGCACTCCTTGAGTTCTAAATCCTACCCCTACCAAACACATTCTTTTGGTGGGTGGGTGGCAGGGGGAAATCATTGAATGGATACTAATGCCGAATACATTTTGGATTCACATTTTTCAGTAACGGGGTTTACACATGAAAGATATACTATCGAAAGGCATTTTCTGAAAATGAAGGAATGGAATTCAGCATTTTATTTATCAATTTATGTACTCAAAAGTAAATATAACTTTCCATGTCACACTTCGAAAAGAGCTTTACATGCCAAGCAACATTATACACAGGCAACGATTGCCCTATCCATAGACATCCACACGATTAAAATTTCCCACTTACAGCCTCCCGATGATCCCATGTAATGTCGAATGAAACTTTTCTCAAATAAGGAATAAGATGTGGACAAAATGTACCTGGTGGAGTTCCAAATGTGACATCAGTTCCCCAGTTTGATTTTCAAGACTCCATCTCCAAGATATGAGCATGAAGTATACTTTAGTTGCCCACACCAAGAAATAAGGAGAGAAGATACAAGAAATTTTCTCTCTTTGCAGCAAGTGAAGCAATTCGTCAAACTCCATAGAGTGGTATAAAGATTTTGACAAAAGAGTAAGCCAGTGCCCCTGTAAAGAGGTAGCTGTAGACCGCATCTAGAACCCCACCTGCTTTGAGAGTTGTCATTTGAATGAATCTGAGCCTGAATATCAAAAATTGACACATATATATCCTCCTTTGAGGCTTGAGTAACAAAATGACAACATTGCAGAACCATCTTATACCCAATATTGATCATCTAATTACAATACAGTGTACAGATCCAAATTGTTCATATGTCAAGTTTGTTAGTGGATGGTGAATATTAATTCCTTTCATAAAGTTGACCAAGAATGCCACATAGTCATGTCATATATGCTCACAATGCAGAAAACTACAAAAGTGTGGTTTTCATGAACAATTAGTGAATCTCAGCTAGGTGTTATTTACTCCCATCCTATGTAACTGAGTTATCAAATGTTCTATTGCCATTCCAAAATTGTCAAAGGGAAATTTTGATCGATCAGGATGAAGCATAGGCGTGTGACCTTGTAGAAGGGGATGAAACCAGCAACTTGACTAAGGTCAGGACAGGGTTCAAGCCTACCACATGACACGTGAAAATAAATAAGACATATAGACATTACCATGTCCGGGTATGAGGGACCCTGAATCTTTGACCCCCGCATCACGCTTCATCATGGATTCCGTTAAGTCGCCAAAAAGAGAACCAAAGTAGTTCAGAAATCCAAATGCTACAGCACTGCCAACCATCCAAGCGCAATATATGAATTGATGCAAAGGGAAGCTTCTAAAGAAACAATTTTTGGAATTTAGCTAGAAACATAGGATCGTTTCATTCTTCTCAACCTTAGATGGAAAGCTGGACTATCAAATGAAACACAGGAATAAAACTATATAATTAAGACAGATGTAGGCCAGCTTAGGGTATTTTCCAATATTAAAGAGGTCGCTATACAACCACCTAATGCCAGAGCTCCCCCCCCCCCATATCTTTTTTGGGCTGATACTTGCCAGAGGTGTCCGACCAAAAGCCTGCATTTGAATTCCTGTTAGGGCTCATATATCCACAAAATAGTCATCTAGATTTGTTATATGATCATAAACATGGGATGAAAACATGAAATAAGGAAGTTATGGGAGTTAATTTCCATTAGGAAGTACAAGAAGTGACTGAAAATTATGAACCAAGTGACAAATAATGAAATGAAGGACAAATTTAGACCTGAAAACAGACATAAAAGATAAAGTTTACTTGTAGAACATCATGAGGTACTAATTAGAATAAAGTATGATTGGGTTCCGAAATTTTTTTCTCATGATCAGCAAGTCAAACTGAGAAAAGCTTTCATGTAAGATATTACACAAGTTAAGGTTGAAGATGTAGATAAACACTACCGTGAAACTAGAATTTTCCCTGGTACCTTGAGGGTAAAGAACAATGCCTTAAACTTTTCTCCCATTAAATATGGCAATAATTCACACATTTTTTGCAGGTCCAGATTCAGTTTTCACTGTTTTTACTTGAGAGATGAATGATGCAAAACTAACAGTCCAGGAGAAAAATATTAATGGAAACTACCTTTCCCCAAATAAAAGCACCATGAATCCGCTGCAATAATACTGCTAATTGAAATTAAGGTTGCCACACGACCCATTGTCCACTGAGTTTGGCCACCACGAAGAACAGGCCAAGATGCTACCACACCTGCCAAACACAGACTCCCCCATTAAAACCAATTCACTGGCCGTGACCGCTAATTTAAGTTTCAACCATGCTACATGTACAATGGAGGATAACAATAGAGGATGATCAACATTCACAATAGGGGGGCCCACTTTTTATTTTGGAATTTTTTAATCACGCGGAGTCCGCACGCATGTGAGAGGTTGTCAACCTCCATTGTCATCCATTTATGTACAAATGGAATTGTCATTTTGTTAAATTTTTCCTATACACTAAGCTTTATTGTTGCGAGATTATTTTCAACAGGAAACATTGTAGTTTTGGTCCCTATTGCATGGGGCTTGCAGTAGTCTTCAATCGTCCCTAACACATTAGTCCTTCTTGGATGTTTAGGGTTCGTTTGATTCTAAATGTGGAAAATTGGTGGAAAGAAAATGAATTATATGGAATTGAATTGTTTAGAAATTATTTTATTGGGAATTGTAATTAATTGTGTTTGATTGATATAATTTTTCACCTGAAAAATGTTGAAAGTTTGATATCCGTTTGACTTTATTTTTCATGAAAATTGTATATTAAAGTGATAATTTCTTTTATCATTGGGTCTAGAATTTGTTTCACTTGTAAAAAAAAAAAAAATTATCATGCGAATACCATTCGTTTAGTTTTGTTTTACATGAAAATTGTCAATAAAAGTGATAATTTTTTTTACCAATGGGTCTAAAATTTTTCCCAATTACCAAAAAAAAAAAAAAATAATAAAGCTGAAAAATTATAACCCACCTAAAAGGTGGGAAAAAAATTTCAACAAAAAAGTGAAAAATGTGCACTTGTGAGAGAAAGTAAGAAATTTTTTTTCCTATCAAACACTACAAAAGTTGAAAAATGGAAAATGTTGTGTATCAAACGGGGCCTTATATACAAATTTAAGTAATAAATACCAAGTTTCTAAAATGCGTAACATGTGGAGGTCAACCGAAGTCTTATAAGTTTGAACGTAGTAAGACTTCTTTTTTTTTCAATTATTTTAATCGTAAATTTTTTTGAGATTTACAATTTTTATCAACTTTTCAATCATATAGTTTATTATTTTTTTATTTTATCAAAATCAACTAAAATTTAATTTTTAATTACACCGGATAGGTATAAGAACTAAGAGTGTAGCTGAACTTTTATATTTTGATTGTTATTTTTTATATTTCATTTCATAAGTACATTAAAATTTGGAAAAAAAATGAGCTAATAGAACCACTATGTGGTTTCCTAATGCAGCTAATAGAACTAATACTTTTGATGTTATCGAAAATTATTTAATATTTTTCTTCTGTCTCTCTCAACTCTCTCAAATATGCAGCTAATACAGCCAACACTTTTGATATTATCAATAAATATCCAATTCAAAACTCACCTGGCGGGGCGGGGGCGGGGCACGAGCCTGCCCCCCTTTTTTTTCTTCAAAAATTTTCAGCTAAAATACAAATTCAAAATTTTAAAATCCAAAGTAAATAATGCTTAAACTAACTATATCAATATGCAAAACAAGCACTCGAAACAAACAATGTCAAAAACAATTATTTAATATTTTTCTTCTGTCTCTCTCAACTCACTCAAATATGCAGCGAATACAGCCAATACTTTTGATTGGCTTAATAGCACAAAATGTCCCTATGTTTGGCATGTAGTGTGCAAAACGTCCATACGTTTCATTTTTTTGCATTTTCGCCTTTATTTCAACGTTTCATTGTGGAAAATATCAACGGTTCTTGATTTTTCTCGAACAATTTGATTGATTTTTTTTAATTTATATTAGTGCTTAATTTTAATTTTAAATAAATAATGTCTATGTTTGGCCCTCATTAAAAAAAATTTATTTTCAACAACACATTCTTCCATAAAATAATATCACACGTACATTTAAAAAAATACTCATTTTTTGACCATAAATTCTTTAAAAAATTACTATTTCATTGTGTTCTCTATATAATAGCTTAAATATATGTTTTCATCATCTATTTAACTTGTCCATTTGTTCTATGATTTTCTACTATCTTTCGCATCTTTTCCTTCCTATTTTCGTGTATATAGAAGACCTCAAATTATCGGGAAAAAGAGTAACAACTGCTTTTGTGATTCTGGTGTTAATTAATTACACCACTTTAACTCAAAAATACAGAATAGATTCAACAAAGAAAAAATTAAACTTATATTAGTCATTCATTGTAATATTATGCTAATATTACAGAGTACCAAAAACATCTTTATGAGATTCAAAACTTTTCAATCACATTTTATTAATTTTTAGAAAAATATATTAAGAATCCGATTTAATCTACACCCAACACGGTTAAGATAAACCAATATTAAACCAAAAAACAATATGCTGGTATCATTTGCATGTTTACAAGGTGATTATATAATCTTCGAAGTTGGTGTATTCATTATGTCGAATAATATGTTTGTAAGGACGAGACAGTTTAATTGCATTCCAAAGAATAACGGACCACCCTTTTTAAAGTATAGATGTTTATCATGTGGAAAAAGTGTGGATTCCATAAAATATATAATTAAAAAGTGATTTAATCTATTATAAATAGTTTATAAACATTAACCTAACTGCAACTTTTCAACATGCCACAACATACCATATTAGTTTTACAAGTTCACTCGATTATCTTCATCATATTCTCATGAATATCACACCGTTCATTCCTATAAACCAAAACGTTTGTAAGTCTACACAAAACACGTCCCGACTCCCGACTATTTACAAAAACCTAAAAATATGAATGTAACAAATTTAACACAAAATCCAAGTTAGGACAAAGCCGGTTTAAGACGGCCATGCAATGTGCCGGCAAACTTCCTAATTCCATTGCCAGCACTGCAAATTGCGTACTGTCAATTTTCATTATTTTCTCATCTCTTTTCCTTTTCACCTCCCCCTTTAAAAACCACTACATTGGAAGACTCCGTCATATTCTTAATTTTTAATTTCTTCACAAAATTTACAGCGATATATTTTCATGGCGAAGTTATCACAGCAGAACCCTAAGAACACTTCAAACAATGGTACTACCAGTGTAAACAATCCTGGCATGAAACCGAAACGTACTAGGAAAACAATCCCAAGAGACTCTCCATCTCAACGTAGTTCAATTCATCGAGGGGTCACAAGGTAATTAATTCAACCACATTGCACACATGACCCATGTTTGCACGGGATCGATGCCTAGCTATTATAGTGATTGTGCCCTGTGGGCTGCCTGCAATTGTGACTGTCGCACTGCAAACTGTGGCGGCATAGTCCGGTCCCTTGCCACATTGCTGATATATAGTTTATTTAAGATCATGCATTTCCTTTGATCACTTAAAACTCTCTGTGTGTGTGGGTCTAATTTCCAATTAATTTGAAAAAAAAAAATTGCTGCAGGCATCGATGGACAGGGAGATATGAAGCACATTTGTGGGATAAGAATTGCTGGAATAAAGCACAAAACAAGAAAGGAAGACAAGGTGAGCGAGTGCCAACATTAATCTATATATCAATGCTTCTTTTTCATGATATTTTCGTCGGCCCTCATAAAGTAATCCCCATGAAGCCTTATTGTGTGTTTGATAAGGACTTTGCGACGAAAAAGAAAGTTCAAAATTTTTTATTCTATTTTATTGTGTTGGGAATCTTGATGACTTCCACTCTAGGGATCGAAGAACAAAGTAACGAACCAAACACCAAACCAGGAAATGGAAGTGAAAAACAAACATCATTGGCTTGAACACGATATCGTTGTCCTCAAACTATATTTGCCCCATCTCGGATTGAAAATAATGCTTGAAGGATTTTGGTAAAAGATTTGCAAGATTTAAACAAACCTTGTAAAATGATTTAACACTCAAATATTAAATGAAATCCTCCAAAACTTGAAGAATACAATGAAAAAATTGAATATGAAGAAGAAAAAAGATTAATTTCTATGCTTTGTGAAATATATATTGTTCAATAATGATTTGTCATCATCTTGCCTTGAACATGAATCACCTATTTATAGCTCTCAAATGTCTTCTATGAAATGGTGCAAAAAATGTATGAAAAGCCACCAAGTTCAAAAATACAACGGCTAAAAAGGATCAAAAACTGACCTATGGGGTCACACGATGGCCTCTATCCCATTTTTTTTCATTCCACATCCATTTTATTAATTTTTTGAACAATATTTCCAACATATTGTCCTGTCGTGTTTTAGTTTTTGATGCATTATGTGAACAAATTTTTCTCACTTTTTTTTTTTGGCTGTTTTTCTTGGTCTGATTTGATGGCATTTTGATGGGAAAATCAGTATATCTTGGTATGTACAAAATTGTAGCAATAAAAAGTTACATTCTTCTTAATTTTCCTTGAGGAAATTTATTAACTTCTCACGATTTAACTTTTTTAATCCTGGTGCTTAAATAGGTGCCTATGACGATGAAGCAGCAGCTGCACATGCTTATGACTTGGCTGCACTTAAATACTGGGGTCCAGACACTATTCTTAATTTTCCGGTAATTAATTATTTTCTCATAAATATTTAGAATTATAATTTTAATTAATTTATTAATCCATGTAAAATTCTTGATCATTTATATTTTTACAATATATAGCTGTTAATGTATGAGAAAGAACTGACGGAAATGGAGGGTCAGTCCAGAGAAGAATATATTGGATCAATAAGAAGGTATTAATTTTTGATAAAATATTGGTTGTAAATTGATTTATTTTAGATACAAATACTTTTTGTTTATTACAATATTTTTTTTATAATGTAATTCAAATAATTACAGGAAAAGCAGTGGCTTTTCAAGAGGAGTGTCCAAATATAGAGGAGTTGCAAGGTACAAAAACATTACAAATAATGGTTAACTAGCTTTTATTTTCATAATTGAAAAATTTTAGACCCGAGATTAGATAAATCATCTAAATTACACTTTCGTGTCGCGATAACGTGCTAAACTCGACATGGCATGAAATTTTTTTTAAAAAAAGAATATGAAATAAAGTTCATCGACTATTATTATGTTCAGTTCAATGTATCAAATATATCAGTATATAATGTAATCACTTAAGCTAGTATAAAGCTATCAAAGCATATAATTTTGTTTATAGATTTAAAACTTAATTTAAAAGTTTTCCGAGAATGTAGTTTAATCGTCACGCAATCTCTCTAATGCGATGTAGAAACATGATCATTATGGTAGAATTAATTAGTATTATAATAAATAAAATATTAATTACTTTTTCTTTTTTCTAAAATACATATTATTTGAATGCTAAGGTTTATTCGCAGGCATCATCATAATGGAAGATGGGAAGCTCGAATTGGCAGGGTCTTCGGCAACAAATACCTTTATCTTGGGACATACGGTAAAAATCTATTTATACCCTAAATGTTTCTTGCATGAAAAGTAACAAAATTTTTGAGTTTTATTTCATCTCTGTTTGATAGAAATTAAAATCCAAGTCAAAAACAACAGTTGATTTCAACCACATATTTGATGAGACCAATAGTTTTTGATAAAAGTTGATGGAATATGTGGTTAAGAAGTTATGAATTACATAAATTATTTGATTAAAATTAATTGTTAATTTTAACTTGAATTTTAATCCAAATTTTAAGTGAAACCAAAGAGGCCGGGACTTATTAATATCGAAAATACATGAATAAGAATTCAGTATTCATCTTTGCACTCTCAATAATTTCAGCTACCCAAGAAGAGGCTGCAGTTGCATATGATATGGCAGCAATTGAATATCGAGGTCTTAATGCAGTTACAAATTTCAATCTTAGTCGTTACATCAAATGGTTAAGACCCAACAACATCACCAAGCCTAACCCTGACCCTAATCCTGCCACTACTAATTTGGCACCAAGCACAACCCACAGCTCGGAAACCTCAGCCCAAGACCTCCACTTCCAACCACCATCAGATGTGGCTCACGCCACCTCATTTGAGTCCCGACCCACCACTGCCACTTCTGCACTCGGGCTTTTATTACAATCTACCAAGTTTAAGGAAATGATGGAGATGACCTTGGCGGCAGAGTCTCCCCAGCCACCAACAGAGATGGAGCTCGAGCCTTCACAAATCAGCATCCCTGAAGATATAAATACATATTTTGACACTAGGGATTTCTCTACATACGATGATCAAGGGGATGATATACTTGGGCAGCTCAACTCATTCATGCAGCCTATGGTTCAGTTTGACTCAATGCTTAATGGGGAAGATTTAATGATATAATTAATTAATTATGAGAGCATGAAAATAGAATGACAAGTTTTTATAGAGGTGGATTATTCTTTGAATTGCATTCTTTTTTTGTAGATATTTTATGTAATAAAACATGCATGCAATATTAACATTAATCTTTGTTCTCATTAATTTCATCAATAAAAATCATTTTTTTGTCTGAAGTTTGGCAGCTTTAATTTACAAGATTTTGTGTATACGAGAAGAGATAATTTGGGTTTTTAAGTTAAACATAGACCTGTTCGACTGGCCCCGCCTTTTGGACTCCAAAACCATATAAGCACATGAGGAAATTACATAGAACCAGAATTTTAAAATTAACATTTCAAAAGTCAGATTTAAAGTTTATTTTTACAAAATCAGAACAAAATTAAACATTTAAATATTAATAATAACATTTTAAAACTAAATTAATCTATATACCCACCCTCCGCCCAAACCCTAATTTTATCCTCTCTCCTTGCTCGACATCTCTCTTCCCTCTCTCCCCCCTCTTTCTACGGCGCCCCCACCGCTCTCGACATTTCTCTTCCCTCCTTTCTCTACAGCGCCCCCTCCTTTGCCACATACACCATAGCGACACGAGCGGTGGCGACGACGGCGGTGTAATCTTGTGTAAGAACTAAAAGTGGCGGTTGGTTTTCAACAGTGGTGATGGTAAATCTGCTAGGGGGTGTGGTGGTGGTGTTGATTCTGTTTTTGCTGGTGGTAGTGGTGGTTTGGGGTAGTTTTGGTGTTATTGGGGTGTTTTTGTTGGTTTTGCATGTAAAGGTGCGTGACGGTGATGTTGGATCTGACAGCGTCGTGGCAGTGAGCGTGACGATGAGTTGTTGAGGTTTTTGTTGGTGGTGCAAGTTGAGGTCGTGGCAGTGGTGGTGGAGGTAGATGATGGTGATTGTGGTGGTGGCAACGACGGCGACGACAACTGTGATGTTATGGCGGTTGTGGGTGTTTGGTGGTTTTGGATCTGTTTTGTTAGTGTGGTGGTGCTGTTGAGGTGGTTTTGGTGATGGCATTGTAATTTGTTATTGGTGACTGCGGTGGTAGAGATTGTGACGGTTACAACTTATCAAATTCGAAACAATGGTTTTATTGCCCGGAGGTGGTGTTGGTGGTTCTAGCGACAGTGGTTTAGGCTGTTGCACCGGTGTGGTGGTAGTCAAGAGCGTTGGTGGTGGTCATAAATGATTTGGTTGATTGTGACCAATAAATTGGTTGGTGTGTGACCAACAAACAATATGTGACCAATGAAATAAATAAATTTCGACCAATATATACCGTGTGACCTAAAATTTTATTAATTTGTAACCAATAATTTGATAAATTGTGACCTAAATATAATTTGTGATCAATTAATTTGATGTTTTGTAACCGTAAAAATAATTGTGACATAAAATTTGTGATTTGTGACAAATGATTAATATGTGACCTATTAATTTGATAGATTTGTGGCCAACGAAAAAATTGTGACCTATAAATATTTGATTTGTGACCAATGAACAAATTGTGACCTATAAATTTTTTGAATTGTGATCATAAAATAATTTGTGACGTATGAAAATTGTGATTTGTGACCAATTATATGGAATTTGTGACCAAATTATATGAAATTGTGACCTTAATATATTTAATTAATAAAATATATGTTTAATCANGATGGTATACTTGGGCAGCTCAACTCATTCATGCAGCCTATGGTTCAGTTTGACTCAATGCTTAATGGGGAAGATTTAATGATATAATTAATTAATTATGAGAGCATGAAAATAGAATGACAAGTTTTTATAGAGGTGGATTATTCTTTGAATTGCATTCTTTTTTTGTAGATATTTTATGTAATAAAACATGCATGCAATATTAACATTAATCTTTGTTCTCATTAATTTCATCAATAAAAATCATTTTTTTGTCTGAAGTTTGGCAGCTTTAATTTACAAGATTTTGTGTATACGAGAAGAGATAATTTGGGTTTTTAAGTTAAACATAGACCTGTTTGACTGGCCCCGCCTTTTGGACTCCAAAACCATATAAGCACACGAGGAAATTACATAGAACCAGAATTTTTAAATTAACATTTCAAAAGTAAGATTTAAAGTTTATTTTTACAAAATCAGAACAAAATTAAACATTTAAATATTAATAATAACATTTTAAAACTAAATTAATCTATATACCCACTCCTCCGCCCAAACCCTAATTTTATCCTCTCTCCCTCCTCGACATCTCTCTTCCCTCTCTCCCCCCTCTTTCTACAGCGCCCCCTCCGCTCTCGACATTTCTCTTCCCTCCTTTCTTTACGGCGCCCCCTCCTCTGCCACATACACCATAGCGACACGAGCGGTGGCGACGACGGCGGTGTAACCTTGTGTAAGATCTAAAAGTGGCAGTTGGTTTTCAACAGTGGTGATGGTAAATCTGCTTGGGGGTGTGGTGGTGGTGTTGATTCTGTTTTTGGTGGTGGTAGTGGTGGTTTGGGGTAGTTTTGGTGTTATTTGGGTGTTTTTGTTGGTTTTGCATGTAAAGGTGCGTGACAGTGATGTTGGATCTGACGGCGTCGCGGCAGTGAGGGTGACGATAAGTTGTTGAGGTTTTTGTTGGTAGTGCAAGTTGAGGTCGTGGCAGTGGTGGTGGAGGTAGATGATGGTGATGGTGGTGGTGGAAACGGCGGCGACGACAACTGTGATGTGATGGCGGTTGTGGGTGTTTGGTGGTTTTGGATCTGTTTTGTTGGTGTGGCGGTGCTGTTGAGGTGGTTTTGGTGATGGCATTGTAATTTGTTATTGGTGACTGCGGTGGCGGCGACAGAGATTGTGACGGTTACAACTTATCAAATTCGAAACGAAGTTTTGATTGCCGGGAGGTGGTGTTGGTGGTTCTAGCGACGGTGGTTTAGGCTGTTGCAACGGTGTGGTGGTAGTCAAGAGCGTTGGTGGTGGTCATAAATGATTTGGTTGATTGTGACCAATAAATTGGTTGGTGTGTGACCAATAAACAATATGTGACCAATGAAATAAATAAATTTCGACCAATATATACCGTGTGACCTAAACATTTATTAATTTGTAACCAATAATTTGATAAATTGTAACCTAAATATAATTTGTGATCAATTAATTTGATGTTTTGTAACCGTAAAAAAAATTGTGACATAAAATTTGTGATTTGTGACCAATGATTAATATGTGACCTATTAATTTGATAGATTTGTGGCTAACGAATAAATTGTGACCTATAAATATTTGATTTGTGACCGATAAACAAATTATGCCCTATAAATTTTTTGAATTGTGACCATAAAATAATTTGCGATATATGAAAATTGTGATTTGTGACCAATTATATGGAATTTGTGACCAAAATATATGAAATTGTGACCTTAATATATTTAATTAATAAAATATATGTTTAATCAACTAATTTATAAATAAAATTAAAAAACTCTCAAATTTTAAATTTTAAATTTAATTTCTTAAATTTGAAATTGGTAAAATTAAACCTCCTATTTATGAATTCTTGCCTGGACAGATTTGACCACAAAGACACTAACTTCCATGGCTGTTGGCCCATTGGGCCTTTTAGTGCGGCAAACCCACTCTATAGCCCCTTCTCCAAAGTCAAAATTAATCACGTATCATATTTAACTAACAAAAAATTTTAACTGCTTCAAGCATTCATTCTCCTCCTTGTGATCGATAATTGTACTGTACAAATTTACACAATAATAGTTCGGAGAATATAGAATATTTATTTAAAGTATGGCGAATCAATCCACATCCCATCCGATTCTCTGTGCTTCTTTCAATCAAGATAACAGGTAACACAAATTATTAACCGAAAAGAAACAGATTTCTGTTTTATTTATTTTTCTGAATTAATGGATGAATAAATTCATTTTGGGTCAGCTGCTTTGTAATTGGAACGAAGGATGGGTTCAGAATCTTCAATTGTAATACTGGAAGACTCCTTTATGAACGAGGTATATATGTATGCATTTGGTTGTCAATTGAAATTCAGTTTTGTTATGGGTTTTTTTTAATAATAACCTATTGAAATTGGATTTCTTCTGTCAGTTATTGGGGCTTTTGTTATTGCTGAAATGCTATACAGTTCGAATCTTCTTGCCATTGTTGGGGCTGGTGAACAGGTTTTTTTTTGCTCTTCTTAACTTTTAAACAGTATAATTTGTTAGTTCTTATGTTTCACCCTCCCGCTTTCATCAGCCATCTTTATCACCACGGAGGTTATGTTTGTTTAATACCACGAGTGGAACTGCTTTCCGAGAACTCAACTTTTTGACTTCCATCCTTGCAGTTCGAATAAATAGGAAAAGGTGAAATCTTCTCACTTTTTTTGGTTATAGACTTTGACAATTAGAGAGCTAAAATATCAAATTAGATGCTTAATGTCAAAATGAGGTTCAGTAATATAGCAATCTGTTGATTTGGCTGTGGAATTTGAAAACGCTGTAGATAGTCTGTGTGTGTGTCTCTCTCTCTCCCACCCTCGATCTGTGTAAAGTTTTCCTTTACTACTTTTCTGTTATCTAATCTATTTTGGCAGTTCTAGTTGAAAGTTGTTGTTTATTGAATGCAGTTCAGTATAGATTCTTAGAAAATTGAGTTTGTGGGGTTAGTAGGCTAGACTGTTCTTTTTATGATTTCGCGCTTTCAGATAAATATTTAATCTTGGAAATCCAGTGAAATTTGATAAAAAGTTCAGTGCTTGATGTTCATTGAACTTTAAAAGAGTTATGTAATAGGAGTCGACCATAGAGCTTATTTTCTACTCCACCTTTTGTGGTCATGATTAATGTCCTTCCCTGTTCTTTTTTCTTTTTCTAAGTTTGTCCTTTTGTTTGATCTTCATTGCTGTACGTTATTGTTAAATGAATGGTAATACTAATATATGAAGTAAGGGACGGAAGGGAAGAAGTCATGAGGGAAGGGGCCTTCTTTAACGAAGCAAGTAATTTACCTAGTTGGACATCCAATTCCTTCAGTTTCAATTATTTTGAGTATGCCTTACGTATGTATCAAAAGATGGCCAATCAATTTACAAATTCTTTGTCAGAAGGTGGGACCGAACTATTATAAAAATAAAAAAAAGGTTTTGAGGTCTGGGATGGGGCTAGGGAATTGAAGACAAAAAGGCAATGGGAGAACCGCTAAAGTCTCAACAGTAACTTTCAAAAGTATAAAGAAGACAAAAATATGTCGTGCCATGAGAGAATCAATGAATAGTGTTTGAATGTCAAATAGTCCAATAGTATCATTAAAGGTAAGTGGGTATTTAAATTGTCAAGCCTTTTGAGGCAAAAGACTTTGGATTTACGGATAAGATAAAGACTAAATCTTCCTCTGGGAATGTGTTTACATTGCCACTGGGAAGTTGAAAGATAGAGACCCCAAGGAAAATGTACTATGATGCACAACTTGTGGTGTAAAATCATTAACAGAGAAGTGGGTAGATTGGACTGATTTGTGGATGGACCAGGACTGGTCTGGACACTGAGAATTTCAGCCATGTTTCAGGTTGTGAAGACCTTGGATATTAACAGGGTAGATACAGAGGGATTACAGTCATTTTATGAGAAAAGACTCGAACTCTCTACAATTCTCTATAAAAATATCATTACGTCACTATCTTCAAATAGCTATATCAAAGATGTCAAATGATGAAGATTTTTTTTTTTTTTTATTAACTTTAAAATTGTACTATCTAGTAATCCACTCCACTGCGTACATAACGTTTATTGCTAAACCGGTATGATTATTGGTGTGACACCTTGATTGAATGAAATAACAAGGCACTTGAGAATTTGTACAGTCAATGTTATTCAATTCTACTTGAATCACATGTGAGGTAACATGCATCAAGACCATAATCCTAGACCACAACCGCATGAGATATCAATGGATTTAGTCAAACTAACAATAGATTTTACTTGATTGGAATTTGAATATGGGATGCTAATGACTGAAGACAAAGCTGTCAGCTGTAACCATCTGTAGATAGAAATCATAGAATCTATTTATTCGTTAAGAAGTCTGTATTCACAAATAATCTAATGCATTGTGCATCTTTTAGTGATCAAAAGGCAAATCCTCTAACCTCCTTTTTTTGTTTGCTTATCGTATTTGCAGATTGGTAGTTATATTGCTGGAAAAAACATTTATATATGATATTAACACTCTGGAAATAAAGAGCACAATTGATACAGTGCCAAATTCGAAAGGTCAGTTTGAACTATTTTTTTTTTCCCAGTTTGCTAGTGGTTGCAATCTGTTTCTGTTATGCCATTTTCTCTAAATCTCATTGCTCTTACTAAAAGTAAGATATCGAGATCCATATATATTTTAAGCAACTGAAAGCTTGTGACATAAGATATTGAAGTTCCGTTATTAAGATAGTAAACTTATTAGAATGATGAAATCTAACTCAGACTTCAGCTAGTTTCACTACTTCTTAGTGTTGCCGACACCATAACCATATTGAACAAGGTTTTAAGCTTTAGCCTTTTCTTTCAAAGTGTGTTGTGGAATAAGTAATGCTTCCTGACTTTTTGAGTATTTTTAAAAAGAATAATAAGTAACTCCCTCCAATCTGCTTCAGTCCTGAAGTTAATCCCACCCTGGCCCTGCAGAGAGGGAGGGGTGATAAAAAATATGGATCCAGCAATTGGTTGTTGCTGGCATGGTCTTCACAACGAGAGAGGAACAATTGCAAGGCTACAGGCAACATTGGAATCGCCCTGGAAGAATGGGAATTCAACACTTTCACTGATGTCATGTTCTTTTCACCATGTCGCCATATATTTATATTTCATTGTCTTATATGAATACGTCAGCAGTAATAACAAGCTCTATTGCTCGTAGTTTTAGGCTGGTGAACTTTTGCAATTTTCATCTCAGGACTTTGTGCATTTTCTGCAAGTTTGGATGGTCCCTTCTTGGCTCTTCCAGCTAGTACTGTGAAAGGATCTGCGTTGATCTACAATGTCAAGGATCTACATTCACACTGTGAGGTTGTGACTCAAATCTCTTAATATTACTTAATTCGGCAGGAATCTGTGAGCAAAGTTTCTTGGTTTGACATTTCCATTTTTTTTTCATTTTGTACATGTCTTTTCCATAATTTTGTTGGGTGTCCTAGTGTCCATGTTATTCCTAGAGTACTATTATATATCAAATTAATTCTTTTTAACACTAGTTATTTAAGAGCAAGTTTTGCAAAGCTTAAAAAGGAGTTACATTTTGTTTTAAAACACCTTTGGATAGCTTACTCTTTTCTTTACATTTGCAATGGCTGTTCAAAATGGATCAAGAAATTCTCCACATCCTTCCTGCATTCCACAATTTTTAACTTCTTGTAGCGAAAATGCAGATAGATGCCCACCGCTCACCGTTGGCTGCCATGGTTTTTTCTTCAAATGGGATGTATATGGCGACAGCATCTGAACAGGGAACCATTATCCGAGTTCATCTAGTTTCAGAAGCAACTAAGGTGAAGCATCACAAAGGCAGTTAATATATGCTTTTATGGTGGATACAAGTTGTCGAGTAGATAATAGATCCAAATTCATATCTTGCTTTTGACTCATCGTGCCCGTCTAGAATGAAATTTATATGTTCATGTATCATTTAATTCGTTGTTACTTATATTTGTACATTCTAGGAGGAGTCAGTGGTCAGTCTGAGTTGATTAGACAATAATGTCCTTATAACAAAAGTAACAAGACGTGTTTAAGGTTTGGATGTCATAGCTTCGGGAGTTCAGGATAGATTTGAGATTCAGGCTACCAGATGGGGTTGCACATGCTAATTTTTTTTTTTCTATTTCTAGGAATTGTTCACATTAGGAGACCATCTCTACCATACATTTATATATTTTCTCAATTGTTATTTATGGTTCTTATATGACTGCTAAGTTCTCTTATTTTTAGCAGTCATACAGTTTCCGTAGGGGTACATACCCATCAACTATCTTTTCTCTGTCATTTGGACCATCGGCAGACCTTCCAGATATTCTCCTCGCAACAAGCTCGTCAGGATCAACTCATATATTTTCTCTGGGTTTTGATCTGAACCAAAGGTAAGAAGTAAGAACTATATTTGTCATTCTGCCATTATGCCAATACATTTACAATCATTCTGAATATCGTGTGTCTGCCATTATTGAAATGCAGAAACGCATGACTTTCATACTATAAGAATTTGATGGTATCATAAATAAAAAATTCTCTGTTTCTTGTCACTGGACTTTCCTTTTTTGTTAATTTGACCTTATGATATGGTATAATATCGTCGATCTCTTAATGCCACATGCATTCATAGATTTCACATCCTTTTTGCTTTTTGTCTCCCTCTCTCCATCCGCCTCTTCTTTCATAATACGATCTTACATGTTTCTCCACATGATCAGAGGACACAGCCCTATCATCTTTTGGACTATTTATTTGGCCAGGTCTATTTCTTCCTTGTAATAAAACTTCAGAAATCTTGTTTCACAAGCTCTATGCAGGCTTAACATTGTAAAAGCTACAGAAACCTTGTCCCACAAACTTAAATGGCCTTAACACTGTCTACTATTAAACTGCACAACACGTCTCAGAAGGTTGGACCAAGCACGTAGTTTATACGTGTTAACATGTTTCATGAATCTGACGCTTTCATTTAATTCCCTTCTCTGAACTTTTTCTTTTATTTTTAGAAGCAGGAAATCAAGTAGTTTCCTCGGATCATTAATGCCTAGATCTGTTAGTGATGCACTGGATCCTGCTCATCATCATATATTTCACAATGCTTTTCCTGCTGGAGTCAGAAGGTATAGTAATTTACAAACCTAGATGTAAGTACCCAACTGCTTAATTCTTCAACATGGACTATAATGACAAAAAATTAGGTATTGCACATGGTGTGGATGGAGGAGCCACTTTTTTGAATGTTTTACAAGAACAAAGTCAAACATAAAATAGAATACTCCAAAACAGTTCCTTTCCCCTTTTCTATTAAGGTTAACGCGCATTTATTTTACCTTTCCTTTCTGTATGTTTTTACAGGATGGTTGACATAATTATTATTTTTATTTTCCTTGGCCCCTAGTCAGTTGAAGTTTTGGACCTGTTTGTCACTCTTATTTTGTGTTTAAAATTGAAGGAAGAGTAAGCACACGCTTATGATGCTATGGACAAGTCCAGTTTGAAACTGAAGGAAGACTTACTACACGTTTATGTTGCACTGGACAACTAAATGGGATTTTTTTAGCATTGTCAGAACCAATAAAGTAAAGAGAAACTTTGGGATATTATAAAAATGTTTTTTTCCATTTTACGGGGACACTGCAAGCTCAGGCCTTTCAGGTAGGATAGTGGTTGTAGAATATTTTTAATATAACTATTAGAACATGGTGGCTGTTAATGTTAGGTGGCAGCATTAGCATTGCTAGTGAACAATTAGGTGGCTTTTATATTCAAGTCACTCCCATGTTGACCCATAAATTTGAAGCCCGTGTTTTTCAGTGACCTCCTGAGAACTTTTAGCAAAGTTTAGTGACTATTTAGGGTATTAACCCTCCAAACTTCCGTATTAGTTGCATGTTATGGTCGTGACTTTATAGTTATATAACTCTACTTCTCTGCTCTAATTTTTAACTACACATTCTACACGTAAACGAAAAACTTTTCTTACTTCTTAACCACACATTCTCCAAAAATTCACTGTTCAAAACATTGTTTTTCCAAAAAATGGCCACCAAATAGGGGCTTAAACTCAAACATCCTCTGGACACTTAGTAGCTTCTATTTATCCTTAGGAAACTGAGTTACGTTCTTTCTCTAACCATCTGTTACGAATCTTCTGGTGTTTTCTTACAGCAATGCAGTGCTACGCAAGATAGATAAAGTTAGTGATACATCAATATCAGGACCTATAGCTTTAAGGTAAGTTTGCCTGATGTCATTTTATTCATGCTTTCTGAAAGTGAATTGCTTTTCGCTCAATTTTAGTTTAGTTATTCATTTCCTTGGTGTACACTCAGATTTCTTTCACTTGGCTTTGTTTCTCATACATTGATGGTGCGTATGAAAAAGGTTATGTAGAATATCTTGATAATTTGGAGACTATATAGCTCCATAGAAGCAGTTCTTGAAAGCGAAAAAAGCATAACAATAGTCATTATCCCTCGTTCCAATATTTGTGTTCTCGTTCTCTAGAAACAAATAGAAACCAATTTAAACTTCTTTGTAAGTAAATGAGTAATCAACGCTGACATAAAAAGGCTGGGAAGATGATTGGAATGTAAATGTTCATTTATAGTTCGAAAATGCCTGTATATTAGAACCCTACTATTTCTCGTAGGCATCTTTTTGAATATGCAGTGTAGCTAAGGCTAAAATTTCGAACGTTACTAGTCTTGAAGTCTAACAACAATTAGCTAGGATGTGACTTTTATGATCTTTATTTTGCTAGTGGTAGAACAGTATATCTATGACTTTGAAAACCCGCTGTAATCATTTTTCAAGTATCTACAGACATGTACGTTTCCTTGACAAATGCATAAATTTGCTATTTCTGATCTCTATGACTTTCTTGTGTTGATTTTGTAGAGCCACCATATCCGTAATTACATATGGTGGATACTTTCAAGAATATGGCTTCAGAATAAATGACAGAAATGAAGCTTCGTGGACCTTAGAACACGAGTTTAATCTCTTGACATCCACTGCAGAAATAACTACAAATTAGAAATAACAAGGTTTGAACATTATCCTGTTGAGAAATGCTATATGTACACCGGATCACAAGAGGAGGGGCCCACAATCAATAAAACCCACCGCGTGTACATCCCCGGTGTACGTGTAGCAAATCTCTGTCCTTTTTAGTTGTTTATATTCAGGCAACAGCCATATTATATCAATTTCCCACATTGACAAATAATGTATAAATTCTTGATAAGCTAACATGTAGAAAATGAATGGATCTCTTCAAATTGCATGAGAACTATAATCATTTACGTTAGGCTTTGAAGCTAAAAGATGACAAATAATGTATAATCATATTATATCAATTTCCCACATACATATATATATAAATTGAGCAGAAAACTAAAAGCTAAGAGAGATTTGCATGGGCAAGAATACGTTAGGCTTTGAAGAGAGCTCGATCAATGACCAATGGAAGGTTTATAAAGAGTTACAATCCTCACTGGCATGCACATTAATAGCACCTTGTGTGCAAGTCTAATAATTTTGTTAATTCCTTTTTTATAAGGTAGTTCATTTTTATGTGTAGGGATGGGCATTGTTTCGAATTGAATCGAAAAGAATCAATGATTTTTTTATAATGAAATTATTGGTTCCATCTGTAATTATCCAATAAAATAAAAACCGCGCCGAAAGATTCTCGTTTGGTTTGATTCCTTTCCGTAAACAAAATTTCTAAATAATTAATGCAAGTTGTAGTAAAAAGTTCACTAGAAGTGTCCTTGTTTGGCTATTGTTTATAAATTGTTCATAATCTGTCAAATTATTTTTGATTTACATATTTTGTGAAATTCACGAGTACTATTTACAATTTATTTTTATCTATTTATAATTTAAATAATTTATAAACAACACCCAAAAATTCTTTGATGCAAATGACAAGTTCTATTTTCATACCAAATATTGCCTAATAAAAATCATTTACCGTATTAGCAAATAAACATAATTAATTAAAAAATCGATTATGTTAGAATCAGTTCTCAGTTCTAGGTATTAGCGATCGATTCTTGATTCTAAGAACCAAAACTATATAAATTTAAGACGATTGATGTTGTTTCTTTTGACAGCACTTAAAACATTGGTGTCACAACCCTGCATTATTCTATAATATGTAACAATGACATTTTATGCAATGTAAGTAGAATGATAATATACATTGTTGGGATTAAGGATTAAGAATAACTTGCTATTTTGGCATCTGGACCACATTTTTCCTCGAAAATATAAATTACATTATTCACTATTATTTTAATATTTAGGGGCACAAAAGTAAATAGTGTTTGTTTGTGGCGAAAATAGGAGTACGGGGGATGGAATTGGATTCCCAAAAGATGGTCACAATCCCAGAATATATACGGTACATTTAACGTTGTTTTCTACCGTCTTTTATTTGATAAAGAAATTGTTCTAAATTCATCCATTAATTTTTATTTAAATAAATTCTTCTGAACCTTTTATATTCTTTTAGAGTTTATATTTAACTAGAATTCTAATAATGATAAAATATCATTTTCAGCTAAAATCATAAAACTATACTAATCATAATATACCCTCTTCAACTGCAAAATAAAAAAATAATAAAAAATCAACACATTATTTTAGTTATAATTCTTTCATGATATTGAAAATGTAATCTTATTTTTTATGCTTTTTTTTTTTAGTATTAGTTTGACAGATGAAAGAATACAAGAAATTTCATTATCTGTCCAAATATTCTTACATTACAAAAGAAACAAGCTTAAAATTACCGACCAAAATACAAACAACCAAAATTATTAGCTTATAAGAAAAATAAATTAACATATGATTTGAGTGATTGTTTTGACTGCGTGAATATTGTACTCCCGAGAGAATATAATATATTCAAAAAAAGAAATTCATTAACCTTTACAACTAAATATTAAAGTACCGACATGACAATATTGAAAATGAAAAATAATTAGATGTTGATAATGATTTGATGAATATGGTAATTTTTTAGAATTGTATTAGAATTTATTTAGAGTGGGATGAGTACATAAAATTTATGTGAATTTATAATATTTAAATGAATGAATTTAATAAGGATAATGTTGAAATTTGACGTGGATGAAAATAATAGAGAAGCATATATAGGCGGTACTCAACATAATTAATTTGTTGTTGATAAGATCGACCATTATTATGATATGAATGACATGGACAAAATTAGGTGAGATTGCGACTGGTCTTAGTTTTGATTTCTTTAATGATTCTTTTTTGTTGTGATATAACAAAAGAAATACAAATTAATAAGTTTTGGAAGGATATCATTTTATTGATTAAAGTTAAAATAAAAATTACTTAAGAATATTTTTAATTACCCTTTTTAAACTAGTTGGGAGAAAAAAAAAAGGTCCAGAAACATAATTATATTAAATGTTGAAGACAATACTTGTGTAAAAGATTGATATTTTAGTAATTCATGAAATAATGGTTAACATGGTACCAAAGCTCGAGAAAATACCTTTCGAGTGTCAATGTCAGTATATTATTAAAAATTGTACATGTGTCAACTTCTGATGAAAAATAATAAATTACCTCACATATTGAATACAAAAATAAAATGAATACGGGATGTGTTAAGATCGTTAAAAAGGGGGGGAATTCGTGAACACTAATGCTATGTAACTTCACTGGGATTACAATTACAATTTAGGTGGTGATAATGTGGTATTAAATGATAGGTGACATTAACCTATCCTTTAAAGTCATTACTTTTCATTTAACGTATCATTTAAAGTCATATAGATTGAGGTTGTAATCACATTAGGGCTACGTAGCATTACTCGGTGAAGGTAATTTTGACATTTACAGCATTTAAAACACAGGTTAGACATGTTTTAATTATTATTTTTTTTTTTAGTATTAGTTTGACAGATGAAAGAATACAAGAAATTTCAACATCTGTCCAAATATTCTTACATTACAAAAGAAACAATTAGATGTTGATAATGATTTGATGAATATGGTAATTTTTTAGAATTGTATTAGAATTTATTTAGAGTGGGATGAGTACATAAAATTTATGTGAATTTATAATGTTTAAATGAATGAATTTAATAAGGACAATGTTGAAATTTGACGTGGATGAAAATAATAGAGAAGCATATATAGCGGTACTCAATATAATTAATTTGTTGTTGATAAGATGGATCGACCATTATTATGATATGAATGACATGGACAAAATTTGGTGAGATTGCGACTGGTCTTAGTTTTGATGATTCTTTTTATGGTCACGGGAGGGGGTTCTTTGTGGGCATTAAAAGATTGAGAATGATAATTATTTTTTTGTGGAAATTGATTGTTTTCATTCACCTTTGCATCACTTGTTGCCATTAAAATTCAGTAAATTTTTATGAATGATTTGTGTTTAATTGTTTATCATATTATTAACAAAAGAAATACAAATTAATAAGTTTTGGAAGGATATCATTTTATTGATTAAAGTTAAAATAAAAATTACTTAAGAATATTTTTAATTACCCTTTTTAAATGATAGGTGACATTAACGTATCATTTAAAGTCACCACCTTTCGTTTAACGTATCATTTAAAGTCATATAGATTGAGGTTGTAATCATAGTAGGGCTACGTAGCATTACACAGTCAAGGTAATTTTGACATTTACTGCATTTAAAACACAGGTTAGACATGTTTTAATTATTGAAGGAGTATGTCTGACACCAAAAACAAGAGTGATACACACAATTCCATGTACTTGGAATTTGGGGAGTGAGGTAAACAACGAAGAAACCAAGAAAAGTTCACAGAATATTGGAGCTGTCCAGACCCCAGTATCCCTCTCTATTTCTCTCCAAGAACTCCTCCCAGATAGAGGAATTAGGATTCTCTGTTTTTTGGGCCTTATATAAAGCACTGCGTAAATAGAAATCTTTTTCTTTTTCCTATTTTCAAGAATTGTGGATATGCATGTCAATGTATCGTAGAACTGCATGAAGCGGACAATCTTTTTTCAATCTGGATAAAGCAGATTTTGGGTATTGCTACGGTAATCAATCAGGTTTGTCTGTTGACTTTGAAGTCCAAGCTGAATTTTACGAATTTTGAATGAGTATGTGATTTTTTGGGCTGTGTTTATCTTTGACTTTGTGGTTTTTGTTCGCCGTTTAGGGGTTGGTTAATCTAATTAATGTTTAGGTTGAAAAATGAAGTGGAATGCGATATTATTGGAAGTTCATTTACTTTTTTCTTAATTTTAAATTTTGGTATTCGGTGCTCCTTAATTGTATTCGAAGTTGATCATTCAATGAATGGCATTATGAAAAGTTGGTTTTCATTTTCCGGTGAAAGTGAGAGTATATTCTGAAAGTTTTTTTTTTTTATTATTATTATTTTACAGCTATTTGGTGCGAGTTTAGTGAAATTTAAGATTCTTTGAGCTTTGATTCTCTTCTATACAATTTTGGCGTGGATTTTGAGTCTGCATCTTTAGCGAAGTCCTGGATTGAAAATGCGAACTGTTATTCGGTCTGTAAGACAATTTAGATCAGCTTTTCGGTATAGATGGAACACCTATGATGGATTTCCGAAAGGGCGAGATTATTGGTGCAATACAAATCTCCTGTCGGTATACAGCCTATCAAGAAAAGCAGATGTTTGTGAATGTAGACAACCATCACAGATGATCTCCAGATTCATGTTTGCTAACGCAGCTAATGTTACTCATCGAGGTTGTGTATTACTATGAACGTTCAAGCTTATTCTTCTGATATAAGTTTTCTCATATTTCTTGTTTTTCTGTTGATTGCTTCAATCTCAGAACTAAATCAATCTGGACCTCTCGTGGAATATGAACGGAGGATCAGTGCTTGTGAACTTTTGGATGGCGATACTAGCCAGGTATGGTCATCATTTTAGTCCTGTGTGATTGTATTAGATATTCTTTCTTAATTTGGCGGAACTTATGCTTGCATTGGATTACGTGGTGATGATTATTTTTGTTCTGTGTGATGGAATTAATCTTTATTTTGTATGATTATGTTGGATGAGAGAATACCAGTTTAACAGTGGCTTTCGTGTGTATAGTTTGTTTAAATACGCATAAAGCATGAGTGAACTCATATCGAGGGTGTACCTAATAATCCTTGTAAATGAGAATCTACTCAGTAATGAAATTCTTTTAACCTGCTAAAATTAATGGGAAAATATTGCGACACATTTAATTGAATGAATTACTTGAGCTCCATTCAACTAATTTTATTAATGGTTAACCTATAAATTTTGGAGTATAAAATCTACTTTCAAAGGTTAGGCAAATGATATCTTATATCTGTTTGATGCAATATTTTGGGCAAGTCTCTTTTTCTATCATTTTTTTAACCTTTTGAGGATGTGCTAAATTAATGACTTTGCAGTTAGGCTCCTTAGCAGAGCTTCAAAGACTTTATGACGAGCTTGTTGAAAAAGCTGATGCTTGTAGGTTGGATCGATATGCTACTTCTGAGAAAGCTGGGCGGTAAATATTTATCACTGGTCCATTTCTGTGGACCATGGCCTTTGATCATCAACATGTTCCCTGTTCTCATCAATAGCTATCTTTGTGTCTTCCACTTCTAATTTATTTAAAATACAACTTTATAGTTTCTGCTGTCAATTTTCAGGAGTAGATGGTTGTGGTCCCGTTTCATACCACAAACTTCATATGCACCGGTGAAAGGACTTTATCTTTATGGAGGAGTTGGCACAGGCAAGACTATGTTGATGGACCTGTTTTTTGATCAATTGTAAGCATCAGATTTATCCAATCTTGCTAATGTAGTTAAACTTTATCTTAGCTGTGTGCATTGATCCTAATTCAATAGATTATATAAGCACTGTGTTTTGCAACCAATATTCTTTTATGTCTTCCCAGGCCTTGCAACTGGAGGAAAAAGAGGATCCACTTTCATGACTTCATGCTGGATGTCCACAGCCGTTTGCAAGTACAAATGCTATTTTGTTTCCTCTTATTGCTAATTTGCAGTAGATTTATAGGGATGAATTGATGTTTTTGAACATGCATCATACTCAACCAGGCCCTACATTCAGGCTACTAGATAATTTCATCTGCAGTAGAAAAAACGTTCAGCACTTGCATTAGATGCTTTTTCTTCACCGCTTTTGTTTTCTTCATTGAACTTTTGGACGGTTGGTCGTTCTTTGAGTTGTGGATTGATTTATGAATGATAATTGGACAATTTATCCCTATCGACCGTATTGCCTTTATTTCTTGTTGGCTTTACCCAGAAATAGGCAATATGCTTCGGTACTAATATGGAACATCCATGACTGTTGGTTGAATGTGAGATTATTGCAGAAGCACAAGGGTGTGGCAGATCCTCTAGAAGTTGTCGCTGGAGAGATATCAGATGAATCTCTTTTGTTATGTCTTGACGAATTCATGGTATGTCAAGCGTTGGCATAGTTCTTTATTTGTCTTGCTTTTCTCATTTGAGTGTATTTTATCTTTCTTGTCCGAACATGTTAATCACGCTCCAAGATCAACCTTTAGGTGCTCCTAATAAAAGATATAGCAGAAGTGCCCGATTTTAGTCATTGGACATCGCATCAGTGTTCTATTAATTTCTTCTTGGCTGTTTATTTTTTACATCTCATCTTCCTTTTTTCTCGGTCAATTAAAATCCACAATTTGCTTTGTTGTCTTATTAGGTGACCGACGTAGCTGACGCCTTGATCCTAAATCGTCTATTTGGACATTTATTCAGCGAAGGATCCGTAAGTTATTTTGGCATGCCTGTTTTGCATTCCAGCCTGACTATATATTTATTTAGGCCTGTTAAGTGGCATAGTAATTGAGGATGTTGTGATGGGAAAATTGGATAGATTCTTGTTGCGACTTCAAATCGAGCTCCGGATAAACTTTATGAAGGGGGACTGCAGAGAGATCTTTTTCTACCATTCATTGCAACTCTGAAGGTATGTGAATGCCTGTGCTTTCAGAGTGATTAGCAGCATTGACGACATATTTGAGAAGGTGAATTAGATAGTACTAGATAATGCTAAAGTAGAAAAATAAGTTAAAATTGTGTCTATCGTGCTGTCCTATACTGTCTATTCTGTGTAACGTGCTGCTCCAAAGGTGTGTAGAGCTTAATGGCGAAAGTTTACTCATTAATTGGCTATGGGAAGATATGACTCCTAGTTGTTTCAGTCTGAATTTGGTCTCATTGCATTGGGTTAACACATGATGGAGAAATTGCCTATAATCCACATGTCTCTCCCAAGATATCGTTTGCATTTTAGCCAACTTCATTGACCCAGTTAATAATCTATAATCTTACTTTCATGTAGGAAAGATGCGCTGTTCATGAAATTGGTTCGGCTGTGGACTATCGGAAAATGACTTCGGTGCGGCTTTCATATCCCAATATTCTGAGTTTGGAAATAGACTTCCTTTTTATATAGAGTACATTTCTATTTTATTTATCATTCATATAAATTTATAAGATTTTCAACTGATTTTAGGCACAGCAAGGTTTCTACTTTGTAGGCGAAAACTTGTCCATCGTTCTTAAGCAAAAATTTCAAGAATTAGTTGGGGAATACAAAGCTGTTCAACAAGAGGTGGAAGTCATCATGGGAAGGAAATTGCTGGTATACATACGATTTAGGATTTTCTTTTGTTCTAATGAAGTGAATACTTATCTCTATACCTAGATCGACTTTTAATTTATTTCTGGACATGCGAATTCTTTTACTTCTTAGGTTCCGCTGGGTGCCAATGGATGTGCATGTTTCCCTTTTGAGGAACTATGTGATAGGCCTCTTGGGGCAGCAGACTATTTTGGTCTCTTCAGTAAGTGATTTCTTGCTTTGTGCTTCTCTGTGTATCTTCCATACTACAGAAATTTCACTAGGTATTGTGTAACCATAGAGTTGAATATTTCTAATACGGTTCAATTGAACTCTGTCCAGATTGTGGCTAGTAATTTTGATTGTATGCAAGAACCAAGCTATTTGTCCTGATTGTGGCTAGTACTTTAAATTACTTTGATAGTATACAGGGACCAAGCTATTTGGCATGTTTGTTAAGGCGAAATGGATAATACTGGACAAAATTAAAGAAGAAAAAGAAGTTAAAATCATGTTTATTGTCCTCCAATTATATCCAATACTGCATACCAAATATGCACTTTGTGTACTTATATTTTGCCTGGATTTTTCTCTCAAGATCTCTAGGCTGTTATCACGAGTCAGATGCTCTTTGTGTTTCTCAATTATTTACGCAATGGTTTTACAATGTGCCATGATGCATTTTTTATGTATTGTATGTGCAACACGCACGCACGCACATGCACACAAACATATATTTTACTGTGAAATATTTACCAATTATTCTTTTTACCAGAAAAATTTCATACTCTGGCTTTGGAAGGTGTGCCGATTTTTGGGCTCCATAATCGGACTGCAGCATATCGGTTTGTCACTTTAGTTGATGTTAGTCCTTTGTTACTAGTAGAATTTTTTTTTTAAGAGTTTGACAAGTTGATAAACTGATGCCCTTGTGGATTCAGGATACAAGAAATGATCCTTAGTATTTATTTGTCATGGTCGTGGAAGTGCTGTAGTGTCCAATTTAGAAAATATATTTTTCTTGAAAATATTCTGGGATAATATGTTATAATATATTTTGTAATATGCTTTTACAGGTTATGTATGAAAATAAAGCTAGATTGCTATGCACTGCTGAGGGAACTCCTGATGAACTTTTTGAAAGAATCGTGACAGTATCTGATGCTCATCAAATGGCACCCCGAACCTCTTCAAGATCACGAAAATCTGATGATTCTGACATTTGTGTGGATAATGAATTAGGTTTTGCAAAAGATCGCACCATTAGTAGGTAAGAGAGTTTCACACTCTTTTGGTTGAAAAGAACTGGGACACGCTCTGGGTCCTTTTTCTACATTTAGCACATGATTGTCACGTGAAGTTATAAACCACATGCATGATGTTCTACCGTTAACTCATTGTATTTCCAACTAAAATTCTTTTGCAATAACGTCTGCTAAGACCACACCTTGATATGCTGGTTCAATCCATTGACAAAGATGGTGAATATGGTTTTTAAGTCAAATGAGTCAGCTCGCCATCTCTGTGCACGAGCGCCTTTTCCGCGCTTGCCTGAGATGAAACCCTTTTCTTTCTTAAACATACAATGCTCAGTTGCTCCAATTTTTTCCATTCAAATTGTATAGAAAAACTGTAATCTGTCAAGATTTGAGTACATTTGATACACGAGCAGTTGTCTGAACGTTCTTTTATAAATATCGAGATGTAAAAATGAAAATGTTCTGTCCCATGCAGGCTGACAGAGATGAACAGTAGAGAGTATTTGGAGCAACACGCTGCAACATTGGCAGAGAAGCTGATCGTGCAGGAAAACGATAATGAGAATGTCCTAGAGGCATAGCCCTGAATGAGTGCAGTATTGTTGTCTGTCAAATTATGCAATTACATAGCATAGTACGAGATTTAGGAATCTGGTTCGATTTTTAACAGAAACCCCATAAATGGAGAGGATTTAAGCTGATCGTCATCTAGTTGGATAAAGATGAATACTTGTAATGCTTCTAATCTAATAAACAGTTGTAACAATATTTTATCAAACAAGAGCATTGTTAAGTTCAATTAGTTTCAATTTATATTTGATCGTGCTATGTCAAGATTGTGCCTTCTTGTATTTTGGCATCTAAACTGAAAAATGGATTTTGAATCTGGTGACGCTCGACTCTTATTTATATGCTTAGGAGATACGAGATGTATTTCATAACAATATTTGTCTCCAATGACGATAAGATGCTATATTGGTAATCGCCTTTGTAGAATTGTTTGAAGTAACTTTAAGATTATTTTTGTTTATTTGATCTAAATTTCTTCTATTTTACTGAATAATCAAATTACATGAGATAAAATGTAACAAAACAATTTTTCAAAATTTCAAATCAAACAAGTTTTCTGTTTTGAGAAACAGTTTTTCTAAATAACAAATCAAACAAATTTTCAACATCTTAAAAAAGAAAAAAAAAATGAAAATTGAAACGCAAACCAATCAAACCCTTAGGAGTTGTTCTCTTTATGCTTTAGTTTTGTGTTTTGAATTCATTTTGAGTTTTGTGTTTTGAGTGTCTATTTTGAAATAATTGAAAATGTATTCTTTTTGACATTTTGAAAAATTGTTTTACTAGCCCTTATTTTCTAGCACTTTTGTTTCCATTCTCGATGTTTTCAGAATCTATTGGCTCTACTTCTTTTTTCAGGGTGATCATAAAAAGAGTAGTTTCCTACTTCACCGGCAGGATTATCGATTTTTTATTGTAGAAATATTTTGAGAGCAAGAGACGAAACATTGAACGCTAGATAAAGATTAATAATTTATAATCCGAATCAAGAATCGCAACCAAAGATGGAGAAAAAAATATCAGAACATGAAGGCTTGAAAAGCATAAGAATTGTGGGGAAACGGCACAATGATGATTGGGCCTGGTCTGATTAAATGGGCTGAAGTAATGATGTTGGGCTGGATTGTTTATTTGGATAACTTGGTGGCTCATGTTCTGTTTTTGGTAAAAAAGGTGTTTTGCTCCTACATCTTTAGCTGAAGCGTTTTTGTTAAAACGTTGGACGGTTGAGATGTCACCAAATGTTGTCCCAGCTGCTGTTGGATGGTGACTCTTTTGGAGACTTCTCTATTACTAGGGTTTGAGGTCTTTTGGACGATTCATTCTCTCATTCATTCAGTCTCTTGGTCTCTCTCTGTTCTCGGTTCACGCCGTTCTTCTGTTTGCACTCTAAGACTGATTCTCCTGTAAATCGATTGTGGTTTAGCTTGTATACATCTCTTGAGTGACTTGTAGTAAGGCTGATTTGTATCCTTGTGTGGATTCAGTGT